CATAAGAAAAGCAAGAGGCATGCTACTAATGCCTGTAATAGAACACTGTATTCTAATTTCAAGGCATTGTCTAAAAATATGCTCAGAAATTATTACCTTCAACCATGTTGTTTAAACTTGAATAGTTATCAAAATTTCAACACTTGTCTTAACTTCTAGCAAGACGAGATTGGTTTACAGAATTGATGTGGGCAGTCTAGGTGCCACTACCATTTAACATAAGTGAGAACTTGGTAAGTCATATCACTTCTGACATGATTTCATCGCTTGTGAAAAGGGGACAATTGTTTTCCTAAAAAGATGTGAGGGTCAAGCATTCCTAGCACCTGCTACTTGAGAGATACACTTTCTAGTACACTCTGTGTCAACGGGAATGGTTTAAAAACTATACTATGTATTGGCACTGGATTGTCTTAATGTCAATGTTTTCAAGTCTTTACTAATTACCTAAATTAATTTTCCTTCCTTCATACATAATACTCAATGTAGTATACAATATTTCTTCTTGAGCACATCTTTTTTTGGGGGGGGTGGGGGGCTTCAAGACAGGGTTTCACTGTGTAGCCCCTGCTTTCCCTGAACTTGCTCTGTAGACCAGACTGCCCTCGATTCGCCTCCGGAATGCTGGGATTCAAGGCATGCGCCACCACCTCATGGTTCTTGAGCACATTTTTACCAACACTACAGCCTCAAAAGCCTTGGGTGGCCAGATAATGATGGATCAGTTAATCCGATTGATTCTAGAAAGCGTTTCCAAACACTGCCTTTTGGAGGCTTGCCTGGCGTCCAGTGCTGCAGTCAGGAGTTAACAGCTCTGAAAGCATGGTCGCAATGACCGGAAAAGGCGCGCAACCCAGACAGTCAACTCGTCTTTTTGATTCGTTCTGCCACCCAATGTCTCGGTGCGAGCAACCCCGGAATCCCGTTCCACTTTGAACCGAAGTGCCTCGATTCGCTGCGAAGGGTGGAGGGCAGCTCCAGAAACCCACCCGCTAGGGATGTGCAGCCGAGCGGCCACAATCTGCAGCCTACCGGAGGTTAAGTGTGGCACCTCACCCCCACCCCCACCCCCGGAAGTTTTTGAGGCTTCAGTTACTAGGTCTGGGAGTCACCTTGACCCTCTCAGAAAGGTGGAGAAAGTCCTCGGCCGGAGACGGGGTGGGCGAAACCACAAAGACAGAACACTTTCGTGAGCCGAAGACAACCTCACGTTTCCCTGGTTTTCAGGGGGTAGCTAAAGACCGAGAGTTTAAGGGTGACAAGAGCAGGTGGCCGAACTCCGCCCAGCACACGCTTCTCCACCTTCGGCGAGCACGCCTCTCTCTCTCCGGGAGATCCCGCCTCTGAGGCGCGCGCGAAGAGGTGCTGCGCGGCGCACGCTGGGAGTTGTGGTTCAGGAGTGGGCCGCTGCTTCAGGATGATCCGCTGTGGCCTACATACCCCATGGTGCTGTGCGGCGCAGGCCACTCCCGGATGTGTGCCTGGCGCCGGAAGAGAAGGCGGCCCCCCTTTCTCGGCCCGGCCATCTTGTGGGAAGAGCTGAAGCAGGCGCTTTTGGCTCGGCGCGGTCCGCTGCAATCTGTGGAGGGAAAAGCTGCTGAGGCCCCACCCTCCCCCGCCACCCAC